CGGCCAACGCACAGCTTCCCCGGTTCTTTTCTCGGTTCCCGATTCAGGGAATGGAGAGGATCAACGCACTTCACATGAAGTGGCCAGATGGGCTGTTGTACGCCTTTCCTCCCTTCCCCCTCATTCCTGGGGTCGTTCAGTGGCTAGTCAGGGAACAGGCAAAACTGATTCTTGTGGCACCGCATTGGCTGTGGAGGGTCTGGTTTGCGGATCTCATGACCCTGTCGGTCCAGGGTGCATGGCGGATTCCGGAGGGGGAGATAGAGTTTCACCAGGGGAGGCTAGTTCACCCAGAACTACACTGGCTGCAATTAGCCATGTGGAGACTGAGCGGGAGCACCTGAGAGAGGCTCACTTGTCGCTACATGTGATTAGGACCATAGAGGCCTCACGCAGACAATCCACCACAGGGATCTATGACTCCACCTGGGCTTCCTTTGTGACCTGGTGCCAGGCTGCCCAGGGGGTGCCAACCAGGGCCTCAGTTCCACAGGTCCTGGATTTTGTCCAAGACGGGTTGGATAAAGGGCTTTCCCTGGGCACGGTGCGTAGGCAGCTGGCTGCCCTGGCTACAGTTCTTCCAGGCAAGGGATCTGTTTCTCTCACCCAATTATCCATTGTTAAGAGGTTTCTTTGGGGGGAGGTCTCCAATTTGCACCCTCCAGTGGTCCATAGGTTCCCAACGTGGAATCTCCCTACGGTGTTGCGGGCTCTCATGGCTGAACCCTTTGAGCTGTTGAGGACGGTTAGCCTGAAGCTGCTAACTCTTAAAGTGGTATTTTTAGTGGCTATCACATTGGCTAGATGGGTGTCAGAGTTAGAGGAACTTTCCTCCAGGGTGGATTTTTGTGCGTGTTCCACAGCAACAGGGTTGTGTTGAGATTAGATCCGTTTTTTTATGCCAAAGGTAAATTCTATTTTCCACCCCTCCCAGGAGGTTGTACTGCCAGATTTTTGTCCCGATCGGTTACAGAACAGAAACAGCAGTGGCACCGGTTGGATGGCCGACAGGCTCTGCGTATATATTTGAAGCGGACGGCCTCCTTCCAGAGGTTGGAGGCGCTATTCCTATCCTTCCAACCTTCGTCGCTGGGAAAGCAGGTTACGTTTTCCACCATTAGCCGGTGGATCCGCTTGGCTATTGCCCTGGCTTACGAGTCCCAGATGTTGCCTGTGCCAGCCAGTATTATGGCACATTCAACGAGGAATGCTGCCACCTCAGCAGCTTGGGCCTCCCAAGCCCCGATAGATGACATTTGCAGAGCGGCAACGTGGGCTTCACCATTGCTGTTTATTCGGCAATAAAAGGCTGGATGCGTTTGCATCGGCTGATGCGGCGTTCAGGCATAGGGTGCTACAGCAGGTCATTGCGGATCGTTAGTTTCCCACCCATGGGACTTAGCTTTGGTAGGTCCCACTACTGGAGCCTCCTGTCCCTCACTCCGGAAAATGGCAGTTGGTCTTACCTGAACTGCTATTTTAGGAGTTGGGACAGGAGGCTCCAGTTCCCGCCCTAGGTTAGTTAGTCTAGCAGGGGTGGTGGGAGTTCTCCTTTGTGCCTTGTTTTCAGGTCTTGGGGGAGCTTGCTTCAATGAAACTGGAATTCAAGGGTGTGGAGCACAGAGGCGTGGTTTCAGCTTCATCCCAGTCTCGTGGCCAATTGGGCGTGTTAATACCACTACTGGAGCCTCCTGTCCCAACTCCTAAAACAGCAGTTCAGGTAATACCAACTGCCATTCTTTGGACTTGCTCCTCAGTAATCAGAACTGAGTGACATAATTGCATAGCAATCATCAGGACTTCTGTGTTCAGGTCATTTGTGAGTTCATTATTAAAACAAACTCCCCGGAAACACACATTCCTATTTACTTTTATGTCTGCTCCTCACCTCCTCTGAACTATCTTTTCTATCATATTTCTTTTCTGACTCGCAGTTTTAATAGAAAATAATGCAGATCCCAGAAATCAAAATCAGATCCTTTCCACTTCAGAGAATATAGAAACACAGAGAGAGAAAGGGGGGGGGAAGGGGAGAGTCTTAAAATTAGGAAATGAAGACGCTTTCAAATTCTTCATGTGGTTTAAATATTTACTTCTTATATTCATTTTGCCTCATTTTACGTGAGCTTTCACATTTTCCAAATGTAAATACATTTCTGTTTACATTTCTCCTAATTTTTCTATTTGCCTAATAAATCCCCCCCCACAAGTATTTGAAAAGATATTAATAGAATATGTTTTTGTATTTAGCATCCTTTTGTTTAAACCACAGCATTGGTTGGAATACACTTGTATTTTAGTTCATTTGTATTCGGGTCTTTTCCCGTGTAAGATTGAGAGTATCAAGACCTTCATACCTGTACCCATGAAAATCTATGAAAGTGTGTGTATGTGCGTGTTGTTGAAAACAACCCCAGAATAAAAGCAATAGCTTTGGTGTGATACCCAATCAAAATCCTGCTTTTGTTCTCTCCTTGTTCTAGGAAGTAGGATTACTGTAATATATTGCCAGGTGGAAATATCCAGACAGGTGTAGTTTTACTCAAAACCATAAAATAATGCTGCCCTCAGTGAGTGAGTGAAGTGAAGTGGCTGTCTAAAAAAGGAAATGTCAGCTTTCAGAGACATAACATTTCAGCTGGTGCTGGTCTCAAGAACAACGGCACTTTTCATAGTTATAAAGAGAATCAGATGAAGACAACAAGCATTCTGGTGGGTGGGGGGCTTCCTGTGAACATTGCCTCCCCATATGTGGGAGAAGAAATACTTTCTTGACATCTTTTCTTATCACAGTTGTGATTGAGACCACTGTTGACCCCTGCTGCTGCTGCATTTAGACTGGCTTTCTTCCAATATATAAAATGACTAGCTGGATAACCGTGTTTCGCTATGAAACCATGTGATCAGGTCAGCCCGCAGGCCGGATGAGTCATGCACTGGCCACACCCATATAAGGCAACTTGGAGTTGGAACAGAGTTCGTTTCAGGTGGGGGGAGGGAGTAGAAGGTCTAACTTCTTAGCAAGCACCTAGAAGCCAAGAGGAACATACATGCCAAATTTCAAGTTTGTAGGCTTTACAGTTCTAGAGATTTTGTGATGAGTGAGTGGTATTTGGCTTTTATATATATATAGATTTATAGCTGCTCACGAGGTATGCATGCATCTCTGCCAATCCAATCAGTCTTGTGGCATTGCTCTACCCAAGCATAATGCCTACCTTTCATCCCTGAGCCAGCAGGAAATAATACCAGATATGAAATTCATGATCTCAATGTGATCCTTCTCCTACCTCATTTTGAACTCATTGCAGTCACCCAATTTCTCTCTTCAGTAATGGGTGGCAGAGCCTAATGGGTTTTAAGAACTTGAGGTTGCCCTTAGATTGTGTTGGAATCCAGCAGTGGAATCTACATTGTCCAGTAATGTAGCAATGTAGAGGGAAAGTGGAAACAAGAATGTATCTTGTCTTTTTATATGCACTGAGAGCATATGCACCAAAGACAAATTCCTTGTGTGTCCAATCACACTTGGCCAATAAAGCTAATCTATTCTGTTCTATTCCATTCCATTCCATTCTATTCTATTCTACAAAGGATCACCTTCATCCTGGGCACTGGGATCTCCTCCAGATAGCTTCACTGTAGTTACAACAAGTCTGTCTATTACTGCTAGGATTCCCTGCATTCTCTTTTGTTGGAGAATGGAAAAGTTGCGTGAATTGCGGTCTGTCCATTGGCACCTACAGTGGCAGGTGTTGAAACCAGCAAGATAGTGGATACAGCCTCAGAATTCAAGCTTCCCTCTTTCATATGGGCATTGATGTCATATACGTGGGCAAAGAGGTTGGACTTGCATTGCAATCCTGCATCCAGCATCTTGCCTGTTTCGAACACACATGTAACATCCCCCCCAGGGTGGCAGATGGCCTGTCAACCTCTGCCTAACCTACCTGCTACTCTTCGACATAATTGGGCAACACCAGCCAGTAAGATTAGCCAGCCGCATCTGATTCTGCATGTGCAAGAAATGTGTCGTTTTCGTCTCGTTTTAGCTCTAGGTTTGGTTGGTTGAAGAAAGAGAGATATTGGAAACTCCTCCCACCCTATTGAAAGCTGTCGTTTAGAGAGAGGTGGGAGCATATCTCCAGGGGGCTTTCATGATCAAGAGCAGCCTTATGACTCTCGGTGAAGGAACTGTTTGCTGCTGCTAGTGTGGGCGAGAGAATAGAGAGAAGCTCAAGCGAACAACACCAGGATACCAAGAGTTGGTTTGGGATGCTGCCTTTATTTAGCAATAGCAATAGCACCTAGACTTATATACCACTTTACAGTACTTCACAGCCCTCTCTAAGTGGTTTACCGAGTCAGCCTATTGCCCCCAACAATCTGGGTCCTCATTTTCCCCACCTCAGAAGGATGGAAAGCTGAGTCAACCTTGAGCCTGGTGAGATTTGAACTGCCAAACTGCTGGCAGCCGGTGATCAGCAGAAATAGCCTGCAGTACTGCCCTCTAACCACTGCACCACCACAGCTCTTATACTAGCTATTTGGGAATTTTGCAATGGTGTACCTGTCTTACATGTTTCCATTTGAGGAAAGCAAAATGTATTATTCCCTTCCCTATGCATCCGCCATACATTTTAGTGAAACATACGGAATGGGCTCCACAGAGACAATTCAGCAGAATTAGTATTTCTTGTGGACCACTTGCTGGTTCGTGTTTTCTGGTCTGGAATTTCCAAAAGAAAAACACAGCTTTTTAAAAAAATACTCTCCTCCCATCCTACAGGAATGTCCTCCTTCTTACTTCAATAGCAACCAACGACTGGTGGGATCCCAATCTGGAGCACAGCGAATGGAGACAGGTGCTGCTGAAAACCCTGGTGTCCAGGTGGGAGAGCCTTTTTTTAAAAATAATGGATGGATCATCTGGAAAAGGAGATAAGCATACAGGGGGGAAAGCATGGTTGAGCAGAGTAGAGGAACTTGGCAATGGGTCCTCAAAGGAAGCATAATGAAGATTATGTATGTGAATAACCATATGAATGGGGTAAAATGAGCTTAATGATTATTTTGTTCTTCCTCCAAAAGACCTATTGATTTCCCTCCCCCTCTTTACAATTATCTTGTGAAATAGACTGCGATGGGGGCTTAAAATTTTGAAATATTTTTTTAAACCCCTTTGTTATTTGTCTAAATAACTCAAGGCTGCAAATATACCTAGTACTCCTTCTTCCTCTCCCTATTTTCCCCATAAGCAAAACCCTCTAGGGTGAATTGCGTTGAGAGAGTATGAATGGCCCAAAGTCACCCAACCGGCTTTCATGCCCAAGATGGGAGTAGAACTTAGTCTCTTGGTGCCTTAACCACCTTAACCACTAAACCAGGTTTAGCAGGAATTTGAATATATTTGTGAAATTGCAAATTGTCTGAATGACACATTTAATGTAATCCTCAGTTAAGCATTGCTCAGCAGAGCTGCAGCCTGTCATCTTTCACTAGGTAGCAAGAGAAGAATCTAATAGAGTTAACATGGCTTTGAATATAAAGATGATAGAAGCTGGCCCCATCAGTACTACTGTATGGTTAAGACACATTCAAGACTGTACCATTTCAGCTATCTTATAGTAAAGAACAGACTATTTAATTGGGTAGAAAGTTGCTAGATTGTCCCCTTTTTAATATAGAATGCTGCAAAGCATTTTGTCCAGAGATGTGTAGAAGGCTTATGACAGCCTTTCCTAAATCAGCCTGCTACCAGACTGGTTGGTTGGGCAACAGATCCTATTATCATCATAGCCACAGATCATGATTGCTGATAATTATGGGAATTATAGTATGGTACAGGTAAGCCTCAACTTACAATCACAACTGAGTCCAAAATTTATGTTGCTAAGAAGACAGTTGTTAAGTGTGTTTTGCCCCATTTTACGACCTTTCTTGCCACAGTTGTTAAGTGAATCACTGCAGTTATTAAATTAATCATGCAGTTGTGAGGTGAACCTGGCTTCCTTATTGACTTTGCTTCCCAAAAGATGATCGCATGACCTTGGAACACTGCAACGGGCTTAAATATATGCCAGTTGCCAAATGTCTGATTTTTGATCAATGCTGCAGTGGTTGTTAAGTGTGAAAAAATGGTCACAAGTCATTTTCTCAGTGCTATTGTAACTTTGAAGTGTCACTAAATGAATGGTTGCAAGTCGCATATTGCCTATATATGGAGGTAATAAATTAGGAAAAATTTTGCTTTAATGCAGTTCACTTTGGTAAATAAATGATGCAAATTGAAAGGATTCCTTTGAAGCTTAAAATTAAATATTAGGTGTTTTAGGAGGACTGCAATTAATATAATTATTAACATTTGTATTACAATACTATTATATTGTTTTTAACTGTTGTTGGTTGTATGCTACCCACAGTCATGTTTAGTGAAATGGGCAGCTATGTAAAACATATATTTTAATATGACAGCCATTCTCCACACTCATCTGAATTAGTTGGCGGTTTCTTCTCTGCTAATCAATGAGATGCAACTTTTTCTAAAGAGCGGTATATGATCTCCCAGATCTCCAGGCAGGCCCCTCCTCACCTCCTCCCTCAGTCTATAGTGAGGATTCGGCCTTGGTGGAAGAAGGGGAAGTGATAGACAGAGATTTCTCTGATGAAGGTTTGATCTTCGATCAACCTAATTCCTCTGGATTATTTCGCCCCATGCTGTTTAAGTCTTTATTATATAAAGCTAAGACTACCACTCTCATGGGGGAGGCGGCCTCTAAGATAGCACTGCAGTTGGCCTGGATCCAACTGAACGCCTTTTTGCTGAGCCAGTTTCATTGCAGGAGGTTATTCTCTCTCCCAAACTTTTTCTAGATCTTATCCAAAAGCAATTGGATCAACCGACTGCAGTTGCCCCACCCAGCACTGAGGACAGGAAGTTGTACACTTCCACTCCGGAACTGGAGGGTATTCTACAATTCCCGACTGTGGATCCACCCATGGTTGTTCTAGCTTCCCCAGCTCTAATCCCATCAGAAATTTCTGAAGGCCTGAAGGCTGAGGACCGTAAGGCCGAAACAGTCATTTGTAAGACCCATCAGGCTGCGGCATGGGCCCTCCGTGCTGCTACTGCAGCTTCCTTCTTTAATAGGACTTCTTTGGTCTGGCTTAAGCAGTTACAGGATAGACTTGCCCCTGAGGATGCATGTCTTCACCAAGATGTTGCCAAACTGATGGCAGCCCTGGAATTCCCGGCGGATACCACTCTTAATGCAGCAAAATTTGCCTCCCGGGTGGGCTGTGGTTTCCAATGTGGCGTCCCAGCGTCTGCTATGGCTTCGCCATTGGCAGGCCGATGTTAAATCCAAGTGGCGCCTTGCTTCCACCCCCTTCAAGGGTGGGGCCTTGTTTGGGTCTGTACTCGACCCAATTCTCATAGAGACAAGGAATAAACGCAAGGTCCTCCCTTCCACTGGGGGCCGCAACAATAGAAGACAACAACCTTACAATAGGTGCCAGCCCTTTCGGCCTGGTGATTCTGGGTTCACCACCACCCCCTACGTTCCCCACTACAACAGGGCCTTTACCCAGCCACAGGACCGCGGTCAGGACTGCACGGGGGCCAGGGATAGGGGTCGCCAGCAGAACCAGGCACACTCTCAGAACAGTAGGCCATTTCGTGGGACTGGCAACCGGTCCTTTCGGAGGTACCGGTGACTCACAAAGGGAAGAACCCGTGGGTGGACGTCTCCTGGCCTTTGCCCATCAGTGGGCGGAGACCACATCCAACGCCTGGGCCCTCTGGAATTTCTCTCCATCCCCCTGAGACGATTCATCAGGTGCCCTGTGCCCAGATGCTCAATGAAAAGGTGTCTCATGGACACCGAAATACAACATCTCATTTCCATCAACGCCATAGAGCAGGTTCCAAAA